GGCCGTCGTTTTGCAAGCATAGATGACATTAAAAGGGCATCGCTGAAAGAACTAAAGGCTATCCCAAAGATCGAGTTTTAGAAGTGTTTCGAGTATTGGAAGAAGAGCTGGCACATGTGCATAATATGTATAATGTATTTTGAAAGCGACAACATTAATGTAGACGAATAAATAAATATTTGTTTCTAAAACGAAAATTCCCGATATTTTCTGAACACACCTCGTAAAGATGTTAAACATTATTCTCATTAAATGAAAGTCTTATCAATGCTCGTTTTAGAGCAAACATTGTGAAAATTCCAACTTATCTGGCGCAAGTGGCCAGAATACCGACAATTTAACATACCATAAAGATTATTTTAACCGATAAGACCTTTTATAGTTGCAACTAAAAAATAAAGGTGTACAAAACAAAATCTGGTGGTTATGGTTTATTTTATTTGATATGTTAGAGGTTTTAAAACACTGTGGAAAACCTGGTCAAAAGTCAAATTTTTGTCTTCATTTTATTGAATTATATAAAATTTAATATTGAACATTGATTTTTATTTTAAACATTAAATATTGAAATTAAATTATATATTGAATATTAAACAATAAATATTGCACATTGAAGACATCGAAAGTTTTATTGTGTTGTAATAAGCATAGGTTTAAAAAAATTCTGGCTTCTTCTTTGTTTTTTGTTGCTTTCGTATTCCGTTTCTCGTATGAGGGGCCAAATGTAATCACCCATCATGGCTGCATCCCAGAAGCCGTGATACCGCCGCTCCATAGCCTTCATTTGCTGGTGAAAACGTTCTCCGTGCTCATCACTTACGTCGCCCAGATTGTGCGGGTTATTTACGCACTCGAACTCTACTTCTTTTACTCATTTTGCACTTTTTATGAACTAAATAAAACCATGATAAAAATACCTTGTTGAAATATCAAAAAATATCAGTAAAATGTCACTATGCCAACACGAGAAACAAAAGAATTCACGTTTGCGGAGTCATGTCAAATTTAAATTTTGAATAATGTTTTCGGTGAAAAAAGTACGTAAAAAACTCAACAAATTCTAATCATGCACTTTATTTAGGTTTTCATTAAAGAATAAACGTATTACAAAAAGAAAGTTATAGAGAGATCAACCCTGATAGCACACTTTATTCTAAGAATGTTTTTTAAACCTTCCAGTGAGAATATTCTTAGAATCATGCTATATTTCTTCTAAAGAACATGCTTAAAAGACATACAGCATGATCCTAAGAATATTCTCACTGGCCTATAAGCAGGTTCTTAGAAGGTGCAAAGTTTTGTGGTAAAAATTAGTCTACTCTAAACATATGCTTAGAATGTTAAGAAAGTAATTGCTATAGAAAGTTCATTTAGGAATATTCCTGTTAAGCATATTTAGTTCAGTTACCTAGGTAATAATAGTAAAATACTTAAGTACCTACCTAATTAGTAATTAGTATTAAATACTAGGTAAAAAACACAATCCAAAATATTTTTTTATAGTTATTTGACAAATTAAAACAATATTCGATAACAAAAATACTTTTACTATAGGTATTTTATTTTATGTTTAAAATAAATATTTATTAATTTGTATACCGAGTTTTTATTTCTGAATTAACATTTTTTAGTATAATAATCTTAACTATCTTCAACTTCAATCTAATCTGACTTATCCCACAAAATTTTCCAATTTTACTTTTTATGATATAGTGTCTACAACTTAAGAAACTTCTAGTCGGTGACCCAACATCGATCCCGACTTCTCACGAGCTGGCACGAACCGCCTTATAACGTGACGTCATAATAATAATCCGGTTTTGTTCCCCGAACATACAAAATTTGTTGTCAATCTAGATAGCTTAGATGGTAGGGCGTTTGCTTTGCATGCGAGAGGTCCCGGGTTCGATACTCAGAAGTTGTCGAATTTTTTTTACTTTTTTATTTCATAAATTTGTTGTTCCTTTGTTAAAAAGTGTTTTATTTTTATCGTAACATAAATTTGCCCATTTTAGTTGGGTTTTTTGCTCAATGGGGCGGGGGGGGCCAATGGGGCGGGGTCGGTTGGGTTGTGTTGTTGAGTTTGGGTTGGTTTGGTTTTATTACGTAACTAACGTGCCCTTAACATGTATACAGGTACAATCTATTTTTATATTATTGTTGTGCCGTCAATTTTAAATGATAATGATGCATTGTATAATATATAATAAATTCTTTGTCCAGTCGGGATCGATGTTGGGGCACCGGCTAGAAGTTAGTTACAACTTATGGTTTAGCGGTCAAATTGTTTATTTAATATTTTTAAATAAATATATATTAATATGTCGCAAAAATTTTTAAGGGAACGACAAATCCATTTCACTGTCATATTATGACAGTGAGGCGTATTTGTCGTCTCCTGGAGAATTTTACGAATGTAGAATACAACATAATATTTGGAAATATTCTCAAAAGCTTCCTAGAAGCTCCATAAGAAACCTTTTAAGAACATTCCAAAAACGTATTCTTAAAATGTTCTTAGAGTGCTTTTTAGAAAGGTTAAGAATCTAATTGCATCATTAAAAGGGTATCTATTGAATGTTTTAAGAACATTCTTAGCAATAATGGAAGGTTCTAAGAATATTCCAATATTCCGGGTCATATCTTCTTAGAAGATTCTTAAAATCAAATTTTGCTATCAGGGAAATACCTTCAATTTAAGGGCTTGTTTGACCAAATCGAACAATAAGATTTTAAGCTATACTCAAAAACGTCAAAACACCTCCGAAAATTGAAAATTTATATTTTAAAAACGCTTCCATAAAAAAAAATTGAGTGTGATTTTCCTGTTTAGTGGGTCAAAATAAATGGGAAAATTATAATGGGAAATGGTGGGCAGATTTTTTTTTCGATTGTGTTATTAAGTTATAAATAGCAATCTTACTTAAAATTCGTGTTCATTTTAAAAGTAATAACCACACCAAATTTGTTGCCCGTTTTACCTAAATGGTTAAATATCTGTGTTTGGAAAACGGTTCCCCACACAGCTCAAAGGCTTTGTGTCTTGTTTGAAAACTTTGCGGTTAATTCCAATGTGGGCAAACTAATATAAATTAATGTCGTGTACCTACCTGGTTCAAGTCCTTTATTATTAATACAAGCCTTGCTTAAAACATTAAATATCAAAGAGTCATTATTATTATTATTATTTATGAATGAATACGATAGTATTATACACTCACAGGCAAAATAATCGATCCACACAAATTTTCGATGAATTTCAATCGCAAATAACTTTTTTATTTGATTTCGGATTTAAACAAATATTAAAGAATATTGTATATTAATGTAGAATCGCTCATATTTTAAAAATTACTAAAAAATACACGTACGTTTATAATATACAGGTTTAAACAAAAATATGTTTTTACCAAAAGTTTAAGATACTCTGTAGAGTGGCAAAACCGTATATTGTTCTAAATTAAGTTTTAATTATCAAGTCACATCTATTTTTAACAGTTTTGTTTTTGGTTCACCTTGATATATTTATTTTCGTGGAAAATATGGATTAAAAAAAACATTGCAATTTCCAATATTTTTCCTGTATAAAGAACTAAGGTTGCTATGGTCCATCCATAGCCTATGGAGGATGACAGTGACAGTTTTGTTGAATCATCCAATACTAGGACATGTTATACACAGCTTTCAAAAGCTATCAAATTGTTTTTTGTAAATTAATGTGTTAATTTTGAGGTGTCTTCTTACTTTTAAAAATGTCTCCGACTGAAGTTGCCCTTTGTACTTTACTTCTTGTGACGTTTAAAACAATTACTGTGACCGTCCATCCTGGATTAAATTAATCCTGGCAACATCAGTCGGAGACATGTCCATTTTTGTAAGTAAGAAGACACCTCAATATTTAAACATTAATTTGCAAAAAACAATTTGATAGCTTTTGAAAGCCGTGTATGACATGTCCAAGTATGGGATGATTCAACATAACTGTCACTGTCATCCTCCATAGCCTATGGATGCACCATAGCAACCTTAGTTCTTCATACAGAAAAATATTGGAAATTGCAATGTTTTCCACAAAAAGAAATATATCGAAGTGAACCAAAAACAAAACTGTAAAGAATAGATGCGACTTAATTTAAAACAATATACGGGTTTAAAACTCATGGTAAAAAACATATTTTTGTTTAAATCTGTATATTATAAACGTACGTCAATTTTTTAGTAATTTTTTAAAATGTGAGCGATTGTCCATTAATTTATTTACAATATTCTTTAACATTCGTTTAAATCCGACATCAAATAAAAAAGTTATTTGCGATTGAAATTCATCGAAAATTTGTGTGGATCGATTATTTTGCCTGTGAGTGTATTAATATTTTTCACTCTAATTTAATTTAGTTTAATTTAGTAAATCTGCAAGATAGTTTCCCATATGTTGCCAAAAATATCACTTTTTTTGGTAATAATTATCTTATTAAATTAAATCTGATTTTTTAACTAATATTTAAGTTTCCTTTGGTTTAAGTTTTATACATTATTTCATTCGGTGGTAATTATCAATTGTGCACCATGGTCACTTTTTACCTGTCAGCATTAAATCCTTTAATTTAAAGGATTATTGTACTATTTTTAATAAAAATACCTCATTTAAGGTAAAAAAACATTATTTTGTCAATTAATTAATTTAATCCTAATTGAGGTATAAAGAAACTACTACAATTTAGTTCGAAGATTAATTTGCAAACAAAAAGACCTCCTTTCGTTAAGCAGTTATTCATAATGGATTTTTTAACAGTGGAAGAAAAAATAGAAACGATTTTGATTTATGGAGAAGCAGGCAGGAATCTTGATGATGCCGTTAATACCTACGCTCAGCGTTTTCCGGATAAAATTCGATGGCGTACTTCATTTCACCGTACAGTCAAGCAGTTTACTACAAACGGGAGTGTTCACCCGAACCAGTGTTCTTTGCCTTGTGCATTAATTTGCTTTATTTGTTGCAGATACGGGACTTCGTTTCTACCCGCTGCATTCGAAAGTGTAAAAAAAATTAAAAACTCCTTTCGAGAGTTTAGGGTTTAACGTGCGAATCAGCCTCGGTGAAAGAGGTCCGCGCATCTGGGGCACAAATGAGAGCTAGAGTCGCCTTAAGCCGGCCCTGGGGGCAATGCGTGAGATAGGCTGCGCACAAAGGCTCCAGGAACTTGCGCAGAACTTCACGCCTGACCTTCATGTACACCATCTGTCCCACACTGACGGTAAGGCCAATAGTTTATTTATCAGTCATTTTTATAAAATATTAAGTAGTTCTGCACTAATGCAAGAATTTCATGAAATCATACATTTTGAATATTAGAGCTTCACGGAGGTTAGGATTTCTTATGTTTTTTTAAACATCCCTTTGTATATTTGAAATAAGTTATTGTATCTTTTGACACCTTAATATTTTTTAAAAATACAAATGTACTATGCTCCACACCTCAAAGTCCCACCACGTGACCACGTACGGAACGCAGTCTTTTGAAAATTTGGCATTTAAGGCTTTTCAGGTTATGTATCTGTCAAAGTATAGTCAACGAAAGAAATAATATTATGTTTAGGCGTTAAAAATGTATAAATCTTTATAACATTACAATAACAATGGATGGTTTAAGAATTTAAGAATATAAATACTGCATTTAATGAAATTCCAAAGTGTATGGTGCCAAATAAGTAATATTTTTGTGCATTTGGTCCAAATATCTGGCTTTCTCCATAAAATAATTTTAACTAAACAGCATTTATTAAAAAAAATCTACCTTCTCTATTATGGAATAAGAATATCTGTTTTAAAGGTAGGTTAATATATTATAACAAAAATATCATCTAGTTTTGTAACTTTAAGGTTAAAAAAAATTATTTTGACCAAAATAAATAAGTATTTTGGATTATTTAAAAGACTGTATAATATGGTATTTAAAAATGTGGTAGTTTTTCTTATCCAGCTTAAAGTATACCTACATAAAGTTTTGTCAATACAAATAGTTAAAAAGCTTCGACTGAACTTGATCTACATCGAAAAATCATTATAACTTTAAAAATTTTAACAAATCACATGTCATGGGAGTATTAAATATTTTCACATTGCAAGTTTCTCTAAAAATTGTTTGTTTTCTTATAATCTAACTTAAAGTAGGTATGCCGAGAGGTATGCACAAGTTTTGTCATTTATTATACCTATATTTATTTATGACCATATTAACACACTCTTCCAAATAATTCACTTATTTATTTTGGTCAAAATAGATTTTTCTAACCTTAAAATACAAAATTAGATGATATTTTTTGTTCTAATAAATTAACCTACCTTTGATACAGATATTCTTATTTCATAATAGAGAAGTTAGATTTTTTTTAATAAATGCTGTTTAGTTAAAACTATTTTATGGAGAAATAAAGACCCAATTCACAAAAATATCACTTATATTGCACCTTACACTTTGGAATTTCATTAAATGCAGTATTTATATTCCTAAATTCTTAAACCAACCATTGTTATTGTGATACTATAAAGATTTATTAACTTTTAACGCTTAAACATAAGCGGTAACCCTATAAATATTATTTCTTTCATTGACTATACTTTGACAGATACATAACCTGAAAAGCCTTAAATGCCAAATTTTCAAAAGACTGCGTTCCGTACGTGGTCACGTGGTGGGACTTTGAGGTGTTGAGCATACATAAAATATTTATAAAAAAGAGATATTACACTTCACGGTAGATAGGTTTTTAAATAGCAAATTAATGAACTTAAACTTTTGAATTATAAAACAGCAACACTCTCATCTGCATATAAATTCTAACTGGCCTTCAGGAATCACATGCATCTATAATGTCGTAAACAGAGGTTTTTGCTTATTTAAAATGATTAAAGCGCCATCCATTTCATAAAATTTAAAGCAAAAACAAATTCACGGAGGATAGAATCAATTTTTGTAATACCTACATAAATGGTTATAAAAATTATTTCTTTTATTTTTGAATAATATTTTATGTTTGATTCGATTGCTTTGGATGTGTTTAATTTACTTAGTGAACTGATATTTTTAGTATGCTTTTACTACCTCAGATATTTGAAAACATTTAGGTCAACCTAGAAAGAGTAACAGTCACGGAGGATAGGTTTTAGACTTTTAAAACATTGTAAAAAATAATTAATTTCGGTTAAAAATCTGGAACCTGAGCTGTAATATCTACTTAATTATGAAAGATGAAAACACAATAAAAGTGTAGGCCAAACTCATTTAGATTTATTAAATATCACGGGGTAACAGCATTGGGGGACATTTCGTGAGATTCACCCATATACAAAAGTCTGGATACTTTTTTCAATGTTTGCATTAATCAATTTTTACGTAATAAAAAAATTTTAAAAAGAAATTTTGACTACCCTATTCTGCACTTAACTTATTTTTATACTAAAATGCACTTGTACCCTTTTGCTTCTCACCCCTTCAATTGAAAATGTAAATTAAGTACTAGAATCTTGGATTAATTAAATAAATATTTTCTTTGTGATTCTATGCATGGTTAAAAGTTGACGTGTAATCCTAACTCAACATTCTATAACCAATGGAAACATTCAAACGCTTTTATTATAAAAGATAGATTAAATTTATGTAAAAAAACTTTTTTGTATGGTACGTGCACTGCACACATTTCGTGTTCAATTTCCATACATTTACATATGCACACAAGTTTAGGAATGGTTATTCAATAAAATTTTAAAGTTTTAATTTATACATTGCATTTATTCCAACAACCTATTTTTATTTTATCCATTAAAAATTTCGTATTTTATAGTCCATTCCATTTAAGAATGGAGTAGATGTCGCTGCGAAACGAGACTGATTTACACAGAGGAACGCGGTAACTTTAAATATAATGGCAGTTTTCACAGATACAATATTATTATGTTACAACAATAATTGGACAAACCATAAAACTGTTTTACTTTTATAACTTTTGACGACATTTTCAGATTCAGCGAATAATATTTCATAGGAATTGACTGCTAAATGTCCTGGATACAAATTGCTGTTGACGAGAATTATTAGTGGCTGCTTTTTCGCTGTGACATTTTTGACTAATTCATTTTTAGAGAGTAAGTAATATAGTGATTTCTTCGTCACAGCACATTACAGCTTGATAGAGAACATAAAAAACTAATGGCAACAAAATTAATAAATTCGGAAAATAGTTTTAACATACCACCCGAAAAAATATTATATATATATATATATATATAAATCATCCTGTTCCGGTCTAAACATTATAAATGCTTCACAAAGTAGAGATACCACACAATGATATTTGCAACAAACTATTTCAGAAGTCAGACCAAGGAATTTGTAGTTCAGAATCCAGAAAAGGGATGAGGAATCCGAGAAAGAAATATATGAATTATATGATATTTACAAAAACGAAATAAAAAAATTACCTAAAACAGCAATTTATCTTTAAAAAATATTTAACAATTTATGTTATTTGATGTTAAGTTGTTGTGTTTATATAAAAATTGTATGTCCAATAACTATGGTCCAATTACCACTTTTTTGCATGTTTTTATAAATCTATTATTAAAAATTCAAAAATTCTTATTTTGAAGTAAACGTAAATAGAGTTTAAATTTTTATTAAATTTTATATATTCATAAGAAAGAAACTAAAATCCTTAAAACAACGGCATATATAAATTTTAAATAAATAATAAAAAAATTTAATAACAATTTTTTGAGGTTTTATGAGAAGTTGTATGATTTCTGGATGACTGTTCTGCGCATGCTTCAATTTTTTTTAGTTTCTCCGTGTATCTACAATAAGAGAAAACCGGTTTTTAAAACTTAATTAACTTCGTTCGCCGTCAATTTTAAATTTGCTTACATTTCCTGACGTAATTTTCGCCTCCGAACATTTAAATTGTAAAGTTTGCTTGGTTTAAATATTCATCTTAACGATCGTTTGAATAATAATTAATTTATCTGTACATACAAAACAGAGTAAAAAAATATCATGACTCGACATTAATCCAATTACCTGTGAAATTGTTCAACTAAAAATTCTCGGCACTGAATCAACTCAATATCCATTTTCATTTCAAATTAGTTGGTAACTTTGCATAAGGCTTAAGTATCAAGTCATTTTATTCCAGTATTCATGAGCCGGTTTTGTGAAAATTTAAGTGCAAATTTTCTTCAAGATTAAAAAATAAATTACTGTTAAATATTGAGAATAATTTTACATTTTAATCTTAATATTTATATGGTAAACCACATGCCGTTCTTTTAAAGATTTTAGTTTTTTTTCTTATAAATATATAAAAAGGATAGTTTGTTTGTTTAAACTTTATTTACGTTTACTTAAAAATAAGAATATTTGAATTTTTAATAATAGTTTTATAAAAACATGCAAAAAAAGTATAGTAATTGGACATTTTATATAGTAATTGGACACATGGACCATAGTTATTGGACATACAATTTTTATATCAAATAACATAAATTGTTAAATATTTTTTAAAGATAAATTGCTGTTTTAGGTAATTTTTTTATTTCGTTTTTGTAAATATCATATAATTCATATATTTCTTTCTCGGATTCCTCATCCCTTTTCTGGATGTATTAATTTTGTTGCCATTAGTTTTTTATGTTTTCTATCATGCACTGTATTTAAATCACTTTTATTCTGCAAGATGTCCTGTAACGAAGAAATCACTATATTACTTACTCTCTAAAAATGAGCAGCCACTAATAATTCTCGTCAACAGCAATTTGTATCCAGGACATTTAGCAGACAATTCCTATGAAATATTATTCGCTGAATCCGAAAATTTCGTCAAAAGTTATAAAAGTTGGACAGTTTTTGAAATATAATCAATTTTACATATAATATGGAATTGACGATATCTCAAAAACTGCTTAACTTTTCTAGTTTTTGGCGGTCTTTTCGGATTCAGGGGACAATTTTAAAAGAATTGGCTGGTAAATGTCCGGGATACAAATAGAGTATGATATTGGACATATGTCCAATAATACAAATTTACATTTTTTACCAACCAGTAATTGGACACTGGCTATTTTACTGTTTGTTTTAAGAATTAAAATTAAAACGCATTGAAGTAACAATGTTTAAACCACGAGGAACACATTTATACCACATACTGATCTGTATACTTTTTAGAAATATTTTTTATTGTAATTTAAACACAGCCCTCCTCT